TGCCGAGAGACTGTGCGGACAGATAGGGAAAGTTGCAGTTTATGATGCCTAAGGGTAAAATGAAAGATAACACCAAGTAATTGTTATTTTGTTCTGAAGGGCGAGTTTAAGTATTTTGTTCAGTTGATATATGTAAAGTAAAAGTTAAAATACAATTAATTTCACCTTTCTTCTCTTGCTTTTTTCAAACAGCATGGGCTTGATGTAAAAAAGCCAATGCCTGTTGACATTTTATTTTTTCCCTCAACTTACTCTTTTCTTCCATTCATTTTTCTAAGGAATGTCAGTCATCATTTAGGCTTGTGTGACTGAGAAAATAATTAGCTTACTAGTGTTTAACAAGCACTTAAGTGTACATGTGAGTCAAATACCCATGCACACTTACTTCTATCAGGGCTACTTACCTTGGATTCTAGGCATCAAAGAGAGTATCAAAGGAGGGCTTTCATGGGCTATTGCTTACCTGCATGAGCATTTGAACTTAAGACATCGTTCTTTGTCCTGAACAGAAGCATGTTTACAATTAAAGAGATGAAGAATGTTCTAAAGTTGTTTGTAGATACATCAAAATGTTTTCATACAGTACAGCAGCTAAACAAATAGACAGTCAAGGCGAGTTCTGTCCAGTGGAAATGGGTGTAAAACTTATGCTTCAAGATTGAACTGCTCACAAATGCCATTTTTACATCACCATCAGAGAACTGATGCCACTGTGCAGTCCAGTGTTTGTTGCTTTGCCCAGCTGAAAGACTGAGGATGTGTCATATGTTTGTTTTCAGATGTCTTGCTTTTACTGAAGACTAATATGCACCATTGCATATCAAGCAAGAACTATTGTGCATTCAGGATGAGGTTCATGTGCTTCATCTTCAGATCCTTGCAAATAGAAAATAGGCATTGCTCAGCTCATCAGTGGAGTCCTGGTCTTGCAGTTTTATGGAAGCCCATTTTTAACTCTGTGATCTTTAAGGGCTTCTCCTGGTTTAGCAGATAAGTTTGTTCAGCTTGTACATGCTTTCTAGAAAACAGAAAAATTCAGGTAGATCAGCTTTGAAAACTGGTGGTTGCTGGCAAACCTTTTGTCATAGAGTACTTGAAAGAAATCATATTAATGGATGGTTAATTCTGTTATTACCTGTTTCCACTAAATGGAGCAAATGAACAATATACTCAGACTTTAACTTTGCCTTGCACAAGTTGCTTACACTGTGTGTGTTGTAATAATTTGTGTCCAGGTTTTTTAACAGCTGTGTCTAAATTGTCAGCACAGCTTGTAAGTGTTTAATGCTTCGTTTCATGTGACCACATACAAAACTTTTCTGCATAGAAAAAGAATTCTGGAGTTTTGAGAAACAGTGAAAGCTGAATTGTCTGTTTTTCAAATTTGCCTGAAATCACTGAAAATCTGAATAGTCAGCATGAATTAATTAGATTTTTTGGCCATTTTTTCCCCTTTCTTGTGAAATAGTCTTAAGTCAGACCTTTTAGTTCTGATGTACATCATTATGAACATTTACCAGCTAGCACAAATGATGCTTTTTAATTCTTTGAAATCTGACACTTGCTTTTTCATCTTTTACTTTAGCCACACATTGAATGGGTTGTTCAATGGGGTAGAAGTTGGTGGCTTTAAGATACATATATCTCTAGCTAAAGCTGCAGTGGACTGATGAGGGAACGTTATGAATATTCATGCTTTCATTGTCTTTTATCTCAAATTTTGACATACTGGAAGTCCTAAGTGTTCTTAAAATCAGGCTGCTTACCAAGCCAAATACTCTACAATAACTCTGTGATGCAAGAGGCAGACGGGGCTGACTGAGGAGTGCAAATTCCAAATAGAATTAATTACTGCCTTTATACTTGAAAATATTTCTGCCTTTTTCCTTTCCTTTGTATGATATGTAATGACCCTGAAAGTTAAGCAAGAGCTTGAAGCAGTGATTTAGTTTATTATTTACTTCAAAACAGTATAAAAAGAATGATGTTGGAAATTATAAAATGCAGTAATCAAATATAAGAGTTTATAGAATTTTTTTCTCAAAAGAGCCGTTCTTGCAGTTGAAATAATTATTGTGGTGCTTTTACTTAGCCTAAGTCATTTTGGTAAAAAAGTAGCTGCTGCATTATATAGTACTGATACAAGAAAAAAACCTGAGCATATGAGCATGAATTCATTGAATCCATGTTACTGATTTTCATGTGAATCAAAATATTCAAAAACATGGCAAGTATGATGCTTACAATGCTACCATTTTAAAGTGACTATTTCCCCTATTTTGTTTCTGCAATTTGGGATAATTATCACTTTATTAGTATTTTTAAGGGTGCTGAGATCTCTAGGGGAGCCATATAATAATGCAGAGCACTGTAACATAAAATATTAATTATCATCATTTACTTTAAGTAGAATTTCCATCTTATTTCTGTAAGCTGTTACTTGTTTAAAGAATGAGCATAATTTGTTTTCCTTCAAGGTACTGCAAAACATAAACAAGCAGATAATATGATACTTCCTTCTTTTGCAGAAATGCTAAAAGAGTTCATTTTGATATCCTGAAATCCCATCATGTCCCACAAAGGCAGGAGGGGTAGCCTGAGCCTAGAATACCTTGCTGTTGCAGAAAGCTGTTCTGGAGATAAGGAAGATGGCAGTGCATATACACCATAGAGGTGGTTGTCGTAGCTTGCTGGTGACAGTATTTTCCTGCTGCAGGCAGTGTCTTTCATGTGAGATATAAAGCTACTGTTTTTAACAGCGTTTGGCCCTTGTAACTGCTGTGCCACTCTGAAAAAGCATGAGAGTTAATCTCAAAGGCTGGAATAACTTCAACTCAAACCAAATTACTTTTGTCTGTCACCATTCTTCTAGCCTTTTTGTGGGGGACTGGAAAGGGAGATCTAATATTTCCCTCCCCTGGTAACTTGGCCTAAACAACTGTTTTGTGCCACTTTGCCTCTGGTGTCTGTATTAATAACCTCATTCAGCTTTAGCATTCTTGCTGTAAGGAGGCAGAACTCAGGTTGTGTCAATAAATCAATATCTGGTCCTGGTTATCCTGACATACTGGGCCAGAAGAGGTCTGCTTTTCTCCTCATGTTCTTGCTATTGTATGGGCTCATTTATTTATTTATTTGCCCACAGAGGAGTCTTCTGCATATTAGCAGATTATTAGCATGTTCCTTCACAGGAAGGAGACCAAAGGAGAGCTGTCTGTTTTCTGGGGAGGTAGGGCATACGATAGAGCATCTCCTGCCATCTTCTTTGCAGAAGGCTCAGTGCGTTTCTGAAATGCTCAGCCTTAAGCTGCATTGGTTGTCTTCTTCCTTTTTAACTCTTAGTGGGATCTAGAAAAGCAAAGGAACTTACAGCCCCATTTTGACTCATCTCATGGAGAGAGCAAGACCTCAAGTAAATTTCCATGAAATTCTATTGACACATGGCTGAAGAACAGAGGGAGAGGGAACAGCAAAGCTAGAAAGCTTGGTATTGAGGACAGGAGAGAAGCAGGAAATGCAGCAAAATTACAAGGAACTCTCAAAGGAATGTTGAGAGCTGTTGGTGATAGAAGCTTTGATAGGTGTGAACTAATTGCAGAGAATTAGGTGTTTGTGAAGGAGCAGATGGGTATCTTGG